CGCCGTTGGGGAAGCCACCGCTGGGGAAGCCGCCGTTGGGGAAGCCACCGTTGGGGAAGCCGCCGTTGGGGAAGCCACCGCTGGGGAAACCGCTGCCGGGGAAAGGCTTGTTCTGCCCGGCAGGCTGGGGAGCAGGAGAAGCAGCAGGCTGAGGAGCAGGAGAAGCGGCAGGCTGGGAAGCGTAGTCGTCAGGCTGGGAAGAGTAGTCGGAAGCGGGCGCGGGACTCTGAGCAGGAGAGTCGGCGGGCTGCGAAGGCGAGTCGGCGGGAGCAGAAGAGTCGGCGGGAGCAGAAGAGGCGGGAGCAGAAGAATCGGCAGGAGAAGAGGGAGCAGGAGCAGGAGCATCAGAACCAGTAGTGCTGTTGCCGCTGCTGCTACCGCCGCTGCTACCACCAGACCAGACGGGAGGGTAGGGCATGGTGTAGTCCTTGAATCCGCCCCAAACGCTAAAGTTCCAAGCGGGGTCGTCCTTCTTGTAGCTGGGGAGCTTGATGGTAGGGCCGGGGGTTCCGTTGCCACCGTCGGTGACCCTGATCTGAGCGCATCTGTGAAAGTGTTAGTTATTTTGGATTTGCAGTGGTGTATGGAAGGGACTTACGCGTAGTAGAATTCAGCCTGGCCGTCGTGAGCACCGTGGAGACCAACGTGCTGGGGGCGGACGAGGTATTCGCCCTGGGGAGTACCAAAGGGAATTTGGAAGGAGATCCTGTCCTTGCCCCAGGTGCACCAAGCATCCTTCTTGATGTCGCCGCTGGGGTTGCAGATACCCTCTTGGTGAATAAAGAACCAATCGCCGTCACCCTCGTACTTGGTAACATCACCAGGAGCCTTGGACATGGCGACAAAGCCAGGGCCAGGGTGCTCCATCTTGGCACCGTAGGCGAGCTTCAGAGCGAGCTTGTCGCCGGCCTTGACCTCTAGGACCTTGGTGCGGCTGGCGCTGGCGAAGGAACCCTTGTTGCAACGGAAGTCGTTCACATCAGGGGTCATGTCATCGAGAGGGTTCTTCCACTTGGTGGGGTTGTACTGGGCCTGACGAGTGTTCTCACGAACAAACTCAAAAGACTTGGACTCGGTACCGTCAGGTTTGACGGCAACGTTCCAGGTGTAGTGAGCAGAGGCGAGCTGCGCAGCAACAAGACCAGAGAGGACGGAGAACTTCATTTTGATCCGAGGTTGAGGTTGAAGTTGGGGTAGATGTTGATGTTTGAACGTGGACTAGAAAGAGAAACGATTGTGTAGGACTAGCCTATGGAAATGAATGAAAGAGGGAAGGACTGAAAAGCGATGAGAAGCGAAAGACAGATGGCAGTGATGTGCTGATGAGCTCCAAAGGCCGGCCCATAGCACTTCTTATGTATCTCCATGCCACGATGCTTGCCACAAGTCCCGGAGTGCAGCTCGCCAACTCTTTCCCGCGCCAAGACGCCTTCACCCCACAAGCCCCTCAGCGCCAAGCGTGTTTCTTCGCTTTTACTTGGAAGGCATGAAGAGCGGATATCTTGGCTGTGAGCTTGTTTTCACCGTGCCGTCTACTTGTGGCGAAGCGAGATGACTTTTACGAGCGGAGATGGGTATGGTAGCGCCCGCTTAGCATGGCCGGGTCACTATTACTGTGGATCCGCGTCCCGAAGATGGGTGTGCCTGACATTGTTTCAAACAAGCCTCCTGGAATTCGGATGCGCGGCGTTTGGACAAGGCATCATTCGTGGATCATTTTATGCCGGGATCGTCCAAGACTGCCATAGGGCCGGGCCCTTTATGCTGGTGGGGGTGGACGACGAGGTGGAGAAGACGTTGATGTCCCACAACGAGCATCGGTTTCGTTTCTTTTGCAGAAGCGCTTGCGACGGCTGGGTGCATCAGTCGATGTTTTCGGATGACGTTTGCCCCTGCACGACATGTTTCCTGAAGCTCCATGTTTGGCGTTTGACAGTAAATGACAAGTGAGCACGCATAACCGACGCCACTCGCCGTCAGTCTGGCCGTACGGGTCCGGATAGCAAGGCTGTACTTGCCTCGTGCTGCTGAGCTTCTGTACGCTGTCTAGCGCCCTTCATATCCGTGCCCACAGGGGCGCGAGCACAGGCATACGAACGACATGCCGTGTGGGAGAGATGGGTCGATTTCTAGGGAGAGGGCGGGCGGAAATGCATCGGCGCCGGTCCACGAAGCTGCAGCGTCCAAGGCCTTTATATGCGCTCGATTGGAGGCAGCTAAAGACAGCTATAGGCAGCTATAGGCCACGATGGGGTGCGCCCTTGAGCATAATTGAGTGGTTTAGATCCTGTTAGGCGGCCTCTCGCGAGCAGTTGGACGGAGGGGGGAGAGGGCCAGCTCGTGGGATTCCTGATTCCGATAGATGTGCGGCTCCTGAAACCGTTTGGGCTGACGTCTAACCGGAATCGGCTTAGCGGGGCGTGCTAGCGTGTCTGGAAATACGCACATGTCTTGGTTTCACGACGCCAAACATTGCCGAACATTACCGGATGCAAACACAGCCCGGACGAACGTCTGCAGTGCGTCAGGGCCAATGGAATAAAGTGCCATGGTTCATCTGATATGCGAGCGCTCATACCCGGCATACCGCGAGGTCCGCGAGCCAGAGAGCCAGTGTTCTCGTACGACCAACGCTGTCATGCACATACATATGCCCAGGGCATGTGCATGCTACAAGCTACTGGCATGTAGGCGAAGAACCAACGTCAGAGCCAAAAGGGCTAGAATGAATCCGATCATGCATGGGATCCATCCGAAAGCCATGCACCCGCTCCGCCGCTCGTTTTGGGGGGTTTGGTGTCGATCCAAGAGTGCGAGCGAGCCCTTCCTTCGCGACGAGTTGCCCCTGTGCCGGCGGGAATGGTGGCGGATCATGGCCAGTCCCAGCACCGGCCGAATCCCATATTGGCGGTACACCTATCGAGCCAAGCAACATGGTCAGGCCATCATGTCTTGGGAGCTATACGGGGAGTGGAGCGCGCATCCAGTCTGGAATCATTGCCGACGAGCGTGCTCACGGTAGTGCCGTGCATAGTGGTCGATCCGATTTAGTTCACGATAGTTGCTTTTCTCGCACTACACTCGGCGGCGGGTTCTGGTGTTTCAAAGCTGATAACGGTAGAGATAGCCGTTGGCATGAGGCCGTGTTGTGATGGTGTCTTGTGTTCACCACCATGTCGGCTGACCTACCGTACGTCATTACTAACACATCATGCGCCACCTTCATCTCCTCGACCGCACCCTGCTGAGCGCCCCTGTTATATTCGCCTCCATCCCCATGTCGCCTGCCGTCCCTCAAAACACATCGCTCGCTCTCCACACCCAGCTTATCGCGCGCCTACATATAGTACATAGTTGACAGCTTGGCAGAAGCAGCCAGCCACAATGCCAGCTCCGGCCGAACAAGCACCCCTTGCGCCGCCCACCCCGTTGAACGTGAAACAACTGAACCGCATTCAGAAAAGACGCATTGCCCGAGAGAAGCTCCAAGCGCATCTTGCACTGAAACGAGAAAACGCCAAGCTATACGGCGAATCGCCGCCCTACTCCAGCCGTCCACAGCAAATACAAGGATGCATGCGACGGCCCAGAGGCCCCAACGGGCGTTTTCTGACACCTGAGGAATGCATCCTCATCCAAACCATGAACACCCTGGCCCTCCAAAATTCCAAACCACCATCACCACCACCGCTTTTCACAGCAAAAGCAAAGCTTTGATACCTCGATCCCGTGTGGCCATCGCACAGCCAATTCGCCAAGCATGCATCGTACCATTCCACGCGCGACGGATACGAAAAATTCCCTTGTTATTCTGTTCCCTTCGTATTTGGGCATGTCGACATGGCGATAGGGATTCTGAGCTCAAGCGTGTACATGCGGCCCGAAGTACTTTTCCCCCACTGCCACTGCCAGCACCGAGAAACTCCTACTAGCACGTACTTTTCGCATGCACGATTCCGAGTCGACTAGAAGCACCGATCAACACGTCAACTGTACGGTGGCGAGCCCTGCCCATCGGACACGAGCAAAGCCCGACCACGGCATCGCTTCCCCCCAGCAACCCTATCTCGAACAAACTTTTCTGCTGAAACATTGCTCCCCGCGGATCCGTAGTCTTTTGGGGGGGGAAACCACCGCTCTTCTCGACCAACAACATGTGCCCTGGACACTTGCTGCAACGGGCCTTGGAAACAAAGGTGCTTGGATAACCTCACGGGGCTCGGTCAGCTCGTATAGACTGGTATGCGAGCGACGAGGCGGTTTCATGCGGTGTCTATGTGTGGCAATCAAAAACTTTTGTTCAAAGTCTCCACGTCGTTTTGCATAGTCTGACAGCAGGACGCCAGTTACCAAGGCAGTGTAGATCTCGGCATGGAAGAGGTATATGCTCAAGCATCTGACGGTGAACAAGTATCAGGTAGATGGCTGAATTCTATTCGAGACTTGCTTGAGCTCCGTCCAGTTCCATCCGAATGCTATCATTGTTGTATTGCAGTACGATGCATTCCATACCATATGGAATTCAGCTGCAAAGACACCACCACACACACACGACTTCCACAGCAAGCATTGCATAGCTCAACATACCCCTTTCCGAGGTGCTGTATACTCAACATCCTTCATCCAACACGCCGACACGATCAAAAAAAACATCGACTTGGCTTTGTTACTTGGCTTTGAGTTCTTTACATAGCCAGTATGATCATGTGACGCGAGACCATGACGAGCCAAAGTGAGAAAGCGCATCAATTCCCATCCTCATAGAAGCCCACCTCCCCCTTTTTTTTTGTTGAGACGGAATAAACGTGTTGGGCATGGTGAGCATGGCTAGTGGTACGTATCTGCATGATGCAGCGAGT